CATTTTGTGTACTGTTCCATGTAGATAATGACCAGAAGCTTGATGACAGAGGCAAGAGCAAAATACCTTGAAGCAACAGAATGTATTTTGCAGTCTGATATAATTTGTCTTTATTCTGCTGCTCAATCATTCAGCAGTAATTTTTTCCATGGTGTTTTCATACATTTTATTTTATTTTCACAACAAACAGCAGATGTCACCAGGACTTATCTTAGAAATTGATCTTTTAAGCAGCAGCCCTGCAGGTTAAGGAAGTGGCATGAGAAACACTAACAGAATGCTCCTCAGTATTACAGTATGAAAGCTTTTGAGGGTCTGTGTCTGACAAATGGACCCTCTAACATTTCTCAGGGTAAGACATCCTGTGAAAATACCTAGTTCTTCCAGCACACAGCCTGGCAACTGCATCTCACCAGAGCAGATGAAGCATCATTTCCTCATCAGACAGCTCTCCATTACAGTGGTTACACAGATCAGACATCAGAAGTCAAACCTGTGATTCTGTAAATGAAACATTTATCACTTATCTGTTGAGTGCTAAACATTTGAATCAAAAAGAGCCACAGCCATACTTTTGCTCCATTTAAATGAAGGCCTTAATGTAAATTTGATGCATCAACTTCACATTATCATTTGATTCACATAGTTTTCCCAGCAAAGATAGGAGGAAAAGAAGCTGTGCCTATCAGGCTTGCCTATTGTAGTGACTAATCCTGCATTATCTTTCACCTTCCCACTTTGCAACTATGGTTCTCGGCATTTTATTTTGGGTTCTTTCCTATATTAGTTAATGCAGGTGAAATGATTTTCTACTGAAGTTTTGTGAGAAGAACTAATTCTTTCTTTATAGTAAGCCACTCAGCATCTGTGATGGGCAAAATGAAAAGCGAAAGGCCACTTATTTACAGGTGACAAGACTAGTGATACAGCTGTAGCTCCTTGATCCATTTTATTTTATGAAAAAAATGGTTTAGTAAGCAACTAGCCCCATATTTTGCTCTCATCCACTGTTTCTTCTCATATACATGTTTTCTCATCAGTATCAGTCCTGTGGAGCTGTGCCATTCATTGGATTGCCTAATAATTAAATTTAATAATAAACTAAAATACCTCAGGGTTTTTTAATCCTTGTAATGTATAGTCTGAATTACAGTGGTGCTGGCAACTGAAAGAGCAATAAACTGCAGAGTAGATGTAGGACAAGAACTACATAAGCCACTTTTGCTATCCTAGGAAATATCCGAAGTCTCTAACCAGGTGGAATATGAAGAAGTGTGTTCTCTGTCACACATTACCCCCATAATCATTGGTAAGCATTTTGTGAGCTTGGCTCTCCACCTCAAGTTAACTTAGCCCAGTTGAGAGATAGGTCTTAAATATCTCTCTTCCCTGTGTCTTTAATCTCTCTATGATTCACTTGTCTCCCTTTTTCTCCGTGATCCACCCTTCCACACACGCTTCACTTCAGAAATTGCTATGCAAATTGTGTTCCTACATTAGTGAGGTTTTTTTAAAAAATTGTACTCATGAGGAACAGTTGCATCCCGTGCCATGTGACAGGTTAAAAATGGAAGTTACTTAAACATGAATGTACTCATGGTATCTTACTGACTTTAAATACACTATGTAATCCTTGCCTCAGCACTTCTATTGGTGCAGAGTTTAGTATTAAGAACACCCAAAAGTGATGTTTTTTCAACTGTTTCTGATGTTCAGTTCACACCTGTAAGGATTAGTCTTTCCCCAAGATGCCAAGTTTTCCCGTATGCCTTGAAATGAACGATTCTGGAAAGCCTTTACAAACCGATTTTAATGGAAAACTGCAAGGTCTTTCTCTTTTTTCTTTGTTTAACCTTCTGAATCCATCTCTACTCTTCCTGGAACCAGCTCCACCCTATCCTTTTCTCTGCTCCATTTTCAATGGTTAAAAGAAAGTGGAAGGACACTTGACTATAATGTCTACTGAAAATTATTTCACTCACTACAGGGTCTCTAGAAACACTTAATCCTGCATAAAATATGATTATGTCATAATTATGGCACTGGCACTTGCATAGTACCAGTAATGCAGAGTCAGAGTTCCTGAACAGGAATGACTAAGTGCCTTCAGTCTCCTTGGGCAGCAGAGCCACTCATAAACATATATTAAACTAGTAGGATTAAATGGCATTGCCACAGAAATCATGGTCTTCAGCTGTATTAGAATTTACTACATATTTGTAACTAAATACCAGGGGAAAAAAAAAAAGGAAAAAAGCAGGATGTGCATTGCTCTGAATTGCTCTGATGGAGACGTGCCACATCACTGTAAAGTCTACCAGCACTTTGAGGCTCTGGTAGCTCACTCAGGGGCAGTGTGGCCAGACACCCAGCTGCGTGGGAAGCCAAGGACACTGTCTCAAGTTGTCATCTTCTCCCAGGGGACCAACATCTTCAGACATATTTTGTATTTTGAGTGGATGCCTGAAATAAGCATGTTTGGAATTCTTTAGATGGTCAGCTGACCACCAATTTCCTGAATGCACATTTGGCTTGGGATAGTTTTCCTATCCTTGTAATTATTTTGTTTTTACATGCAATTGCTTGTGTATTTCCTCCTTTCATATTGCTTACATATTTAACTTCAAAGCTTTTCCCAATAGCTCTTTTCTAGAAAATTAGGAGTACTGCGTATTTTCAAAAGGTTGAGTTTGGTCATTCTGCAACATTAGCCTTAAAATCAAAACCAAAACCAACCAGTAAAAAAAAACAAAAACAACAAAAAAAAAGGACACTCTTGGGTCCCTGACAGGAACAATGTCTTTAACATAAAATAATTAAACTCTATTATAGACACCAGGCAAATCTGCTTTAGTTCTCCGCAGTATCCCTTTGTAGCTCAAAGATCGCACTGTGGTATTTACCATAGCTATTGCTGAAGTTTACAGGACATGTATTTCCATGCCCAATATAAGGAAAGTAGGAAAATTCTTCTACAGAAGCCCATTGATTGGCTTTTAATCTGCTGTCTCTGCTCCCAACCTCTACATTTTGACATTCTGCCATAAGGTTTGGAACATTTTTGCTAATGTTTTTTGTTTTGGCATATGCACCAGACAAAATAGATTGAGTTTGCCTCTTCCTAAGCCAATGCGGGTGTTTCTGGTATTGGGGTGAGATGCCAGTTTGGTGCACCCTAGCCTTGTTAAGTTTCCACCTAATTACCTTTTAAAACAGTCTAACATATTCTTCTCCTTTTTTCTGTGTGGTTCTGCATTTGTCCAGTTTTCTAAGATTTCTCTTGGTGATATTTGCAAAAAGTGCTTTTAATTACATCCTGAGCAAGGGGTCTGATACAATACAAGAGTTCCTAGCAAGACACACACACACACACTCATATTTATAAAGAGTGCAGCAATGAGAGAAAAAAATCACTATTAATGGATGTGAAAATGCTATCACACACTTTTTTTTTTTTTTTTTTTTTTGTTTTGTTGTTGTTGTGTTGCTTTCAGACACATGTAGTGTTTTGCATTCATATAATTCTTTTCCTGTAAAGATTTTGGACAACTTGGAATAAACCACAAATTCCCTAGCACATCTTTTTGCCATGCTTTAGTAACAACTACAAATAAACCTACAACCTTTCCATCTTACTACCTGCCCTTCCTGACATGAATGTGTCTCAAAAGTGGGATTGTTTTTTTCAAATAACTATGTGAAACTACTGGTTTATGACTGGGAATTTGAAACACACACCATAGGATAATGTAGAATCATACAACAGTTTGTATTGGAAGGTATATTTAAAGGACATCTAGTCACACCCCCAGCGATGAGCAGGGACATCCTCGACGAGATCAGGTTGCTCAGAGACCCATCCGGACTAAATTTAGGCAACTGTGCGGTATGGCCAGCAGCTCCTAAGTTTCCACAGGCCATTTCCACTGTCCTATTTACTGGCTAAGTCATCATTTGTGCTTAAAAAGGAAGCAATTACTCCAGAATATCTGAAAGCCGGATTTTCAGCTGCAGCTCTTTTGCATTCTATTTACTGCTTCCACTTATTTCTGCATGGTACCATCTGGACTCTAGCTCCTTTCTACTTCCTCACGATTTGCAATTTCCTAAGTTCCTGAACATATTTTTTGTATTTTATGGGCAATCAGCAATTTTTTTAGCTTCACAAATACAACTCAGCACTCCTTCACTCTACTTTTATCTCAGACTGGCTACTAGGAACTACAGCCTGCTAATTTGGAGCCTGCTAAGGCAGCTGACTCGTCGATCAGACTTGGCAGATGACTCAATTCTTTTCCGAAATCTCAGTGAGAATGGATCTGTCATTTCTAATCAGCCGGTTGATTGCAAATCCGGATACAGCTGACCCTTGAGTTTTGTATATTGCTTGGAGGTCTCAGTGTACCCCACCTCAGCTCACAGCAACTGAGAAAACACTCTCCATTCAATCCCAATTGACTCCTCTCGGGTTTGTTTGGTTTTGGGGTAGACTCCTCCATTTGGACGGGACCTACCATGATCATCTAGTCCAACTGCCTGAGTAACTGAGGGGTGATCAAGTTAAAGCGCGTTGATAAGGGCGTTGTCCAAATGCCTCTCAAACACGGACAGCCCTGAGGCATTGTCACCCTAGGAAGTCCGTTCCAGTGTTTGACCGTGCTCTCGGCAAAGAAATGGTTCCCAGTGTCCACTGTATATTTAAGGAGCAGCTTTGAATCATTCCCACGCGTCCTTCGCTGGCTAACAGGGAGAAGAGCTCAACCTATCCCTCTCCACGTCCCCTCCTCAGGAAGCTACAAAGAGCAACAAGATCGCGACCCCTCAGCATCATTTTCTACAAACCAGACAAGCCCACAGCGTCAGACTGCTCTTAGCAGGTAGGTTTTTTTTTTTTTTTTTTGTTATTGTTGTTGTTTGTTCGGAGCTGTTTGGTTTGGGCCCCGACTCGAGAGGGAGGCAAAGACGGGGAGTAGGCGGGCCGAGAGAGAGAGAGGGAGGGACGTCGAGTGGGCCGGCGGCGACATCGGCATCCTCTGCGCGGCCGCTCGGCGGGCTGGAGTCGTCGGGAATCGCGGCTGCAAGCGGGAGCGGGCGGCTAAGGCCGGGCGGGAGAGCGGTCGGTGCCTTGCGGGGAGCCCGGCGCACTTGGCTGGGGCGGCAGATGTGTCGGGGTCTCCCTCTGCGTGCAGCGCTTGCCGAGCCCTACATCGGCGCTGCGCGGCGTCCCGGGGACATCGGCGGCGTTTGTCATCGCCGCTGCCTGCCCCTTCGTGGCACCCGGCGCGGGTGCCTGTGCTGCAGAGCCGGGGCATGGGGACTTCGCTGCTGCCCGCTCCGCTCTGCTTCTGCCTCATTTTGCAGCAAACTGAAGTACTACAGATTAATAATCTTACTCTTATGCATGTAGAAGGCGTTCCTGTTGTGTTGCTTAAAAACAAAACAAAAAAAAAAAAAAAACCTCTAAATTATGCGCTTTTAAAAGCACATTTCCGTTGTTGCTGAGCTCTGCTTTTCGGTAAGCCTCTATAAGCATGCCAAGTGAAGACGGAAAACAGTACAGAATATGAACTGTAGAGTCTGCAAAACAGATGGAGAACCGCGGATAACGTGGTGGTGACTGTAATTTTCTCTCTGTTGCTTCCAGGTACTTAACCAAAAAATGAAAGCTTTCCCATCATGTCTCTCCACGCAGTAGCGCTTGCCAGCTTCAGCGGAACGGAAGTCTTCAAGCACCCCTGCTCTGAAAAGGTGAGGTAAGGGAGACCTCTGAATGGTGGCTCAGTGTGCTCCTTAGCTAGGGGAACTTGGTTCAAAAACCAGCTTTTAGTTGTCAATGGCCGTAGTAAATTATTTTTAAATGCTGGTGGAGTTGGGAAACCCAATCCCAGTGTTGGGGCAGGCGAGAAAGGCAGGTTTCTTTTATACTAGGAAAATGTCAAACTGTCAGTGGGTTTTATTGGTCATGGCAGTGTGTTGTGGTACATGTTTTATGACTAGGAATTTGAAATGTTTCTCATGCACTTCCGTTGTTGTATTTCCTTTTCAGCTCTTTAGTTGCTTTTTTTCCCGTTTGTTTGTTTAGGGGGGTAGTTATGTGGCCTTTTTGTCTGTGATTTAGTTGAAACTGTAGCACCTTGAAAGTAAATGGAAATCTTACTTGAATCCTCAAACCACCGATTGCTTCTGATAGCCAAGAGATGGGAGCTTGCTTAAAAAAAAAGATAAAAATTTTAAGACTTGGCACACTTAATAGCTGTGCTTACTGATAAAGTGCTTGCATTTATTCTGCTCTTAGGCAGTTGGGATACCTGCATTCTAAGAGGTAGAGTCCGTTAATTGCTAGTATTGAAAACAATTTTAAAAATTAATAAAATAATTAAAAAATAGTTTCTGCTTTATCCACTGTACTGACAATGTGATATTTATATGTACAAAGCCTGCCTACATGTCAGTTTTTCTGAAGGAGTGCAGAGGGAAGAAAATTAGAAAACACTAACAGATACTGAAAAGAATTTTTTCAAAGCACTGGCATAATCAAATGCTAAATATTTTACATTAAACATACTATTTTTGGCTTGAAATGTTATTCTTCAGTTAAAAGGGAAATTCTCTGTGGGTTTTAACTTCTTCTGCTTTCCATGAGTCTGAAGGATATCTGGACAAGATCTGTACTCTGGGTCACCTCTCTCTTCCATGCAGGAAGTGTAGAGGTCGACAACATGGGGTGGCTGAGGACGGCACACCTTTAATTCTCTTTTCTTTGCATGGGATCACACGGTGCAGGGAAGGGTGAGAGGAGATCTGGACATGCTTCAGTGTGCAGACATTCTTACTTATGTGGGAGAAGGCACAACATCTTGGTTAAGTGACTTTTAACGATGTGCATGTTGAAGCAGGGCATCCCTTTGATTTCCCTGGTTTCTGTGATGTGCTTTGGAGGTCCATGACATGCTTAGGGCACAAGGGGGTTGGGGGGACAAGTTTTAGGACCTCACAAGGAATTTTTGAGCTTATGGAGCATACCTACTGCTTTRCTGTCCTGAGTGTATCGTAGTACTTTGCTGGAATTAGCCCCTGAGTATTTGCACTAAATTGCTTCCCTGGTTCAGCTGACACTGGTTTGACAGTATGGTAAATCCAGCTTTGAAGGTAGAAATACTGAATTGGAAGCATCATGACTGCACAAAGTGAAGTGCTGATCTGGTATAAGCCTGCTCAGGCAGTTCAAATGGATTCAAATTTTTGGTCAGCTTGTACTGGCAGGCTCTTAAGCCAGGTTGAGTATCTGTCTGTGTCACCACCTCTCACTTTATGCTGGGTCAGTCATATTTGCTGTTCAGTCAGTCACAGTGCTGTTTGTGGAGTTGGGTCGTCATAGATTTAGCTTATAACTTGTACATCTAAATAGGCCGATGCTTCCAGATACAGATTGGTAGTTCCTTGAATTCTTTTCCACTCCATAGCTGTTGTTTTGGTACATACACAAACATCATATTCAGCATTTTGTATAATTTGTGCCTATGTGCACATTTAATCCTCCTGCTGTAGAGAGTTTTCTTTTGGTCACCTGCCTTCTGGAGTGAAACGAGGAATGCAGAGCTGAGATGCCAGTGCTCTCCAGACAGTGTATGCTTCTTGGGAGATTTTCAGGCAGCCAGAAATGTAGGCAGGCCTCAGAACAGTGTTCTTCCTGCTGGGATGACTCTGAGATGGAGGGTGTCATTAGCAGAATGTTATCTTATAAACAAATTGTCTGCCTTGTCTGCCTCTCTGTTCTTGTTGTAGCTAAACCACAAAAGCCTAAAGGTGGCATTCACCGACTCAGTGTGTTCTTCAAATCCCTCAGCGAGGATTAGCTGTCTTGCTCCAACACCTCAAATCTCTGTTCTCTCAGGTAATGCCAGTTTGTTCTAAATTACCTCCCTCTGGGGGAGTTTTGCTGGTGCTTGTAGTGCTAGCAGAAGCTGTCGGTGTTTGTGTGTACTAAACAAGTCTCATTTGTTTGAAGAGGGTTCGTTGCTTGTTAGCTTTGAGGATGGTACAACATAAAAATACATTTTACAATTTGCATGTATGAGTGGGTTTTGTCTTTTAGTGGTGGTTTGGCCATTTTAGTTAATATTGACATTTTGCATGTGGGGGGAGGGTGGAACAGGTTGGCCAGAACAGTTGTGGACGCCTCAGCCCTTTAAGTGTTCAAGGCCGGGTTGGATGGGACTTTGAGAAACCTGGTCTACTGGAAAGTATGCCCACCCATAGCAGAGGGGTTGGAAACTAGATGATCTTTCAGACCCCTCTCAGCCATAACATTTTGTAATTTTTGATTAGAACACCGAATGTTTTGTTTTGCACAGAGAAGATGATGATTGCAGCCCAAGTTAAGGTATTCCCATTCAATTGAAATGTCAGTAGTTACCCAAACAGCTTTCTTTTCCTGAAAAGATTGAAATATGTGTGTTTGAAAGTCAGCTAGTTTTAATTTTACCATTGGCTTCATTGGCAAGATGTTTCTTTGCGATTGCAGCCAGTAAAATGTGCAGTTTTGCTATTTCTGCAAGAGCTTTTTCCTGGTAAGTGGCAGGTGACTGATCCCTATCACTGACATGCTCTGGCTGATTTTGACCTGACTTTACTAGGATAGCTTTGCTAGCAGCCCTTGCAGTATAGCTTACATGTGATGTWCTTGGTTTTTTTCAGCTTTTTCTCAATGAGCAGTGGTCTTTATATGGACTTGCTCTTTCAAAATACATGGGTTTTTTGTTTTGGTTTTGATCCCTTCATTAGTAAAATTTCTTATCATGTAGTTTGAGTTCATGCAGACTTCATAGAAAAGTTTGTTGTTTTTCAATGAGCTGTGTCTAAGGAGAGTAATCTCTGGGCAAAGTCTGCAGTCTGCAAGACTTGCTGTTTTTTTCAGCAGCAGTGTTTAACATTCCTCTTTGTCCTAACTAGGAGTTCTTTGTCCTGGAAATAATTCTTGATTGTATCTATTCTTAGAATTTTACAGCTGGATTATCTTCCCCAAAGGAGACAGTTGTTAACTTCATTGTGTTGATGTGGTCAATGGTTTTGGTCTTGAACATAGACTTTGTGTCTGATCTCTCAATTACTTGAATTAAGGTAGTTCCTCTGAGGCTTTTATTTTTTTGTTTTGTTCAAGTTATAGGATTTCAAATTATTCTTCAAAAGCTACTGCTTGCAGTGTAGGCTTCTGTGTCCTGCTAATGTTGCCCTGTCTGTCACTAAAAGTAGTTTTTCCATTTTCTGTTGAGTTAGTCTTGCAGTAGATCACATAGGACCTTGGCAGTGCTTTTGGCTCTTTCAGAGGCATTTTAGTGATCTTGCTGTGACAGAGTTAAGTTTTTTATGGTTTTGTGTAAGTGTTGCCACCCCTATGAATAATGGACTGATGGTTACTTTAGCTATTTCCGCTCTGGTTGAACTGAAACGCACAAGCATGTTGACCTTGTATTACCAAATGTACTTTTTTTACTTTTTCTGCTCTATTGATCTTCCATGTCTTGCTGTAATGTGGTCTTCCCTTCTGTTGGCAATAGGACCTGTATCAGTAATAGTTGTGTTATCCTGTTTTGTAGAAGTGTTTTTGAGCACACTGATTAGTCACCGTTAAAGTGTTAGGTAATTGTGTTTGGCTAGTAGTAGAATACTTTGCTGTTGGTTTGCTGCCTAGCCTTATCAATGACTGAATTGCTTCCTGAGTGCTGAAAGCAAGAGTTTTCTTGCAGGAAGATGCAACAGCGAGTGGTCAGTGAATTCAGCTGTTTCCTGTCTTCTCACCTCTATAAAAAATAATGTGCATTTTATTTACATTGCATATTAACCTTTTCTTACTATTGTTTCCTAACCTTTCCATTTCTTCAATTTTCTGAACAGATGAATCTTCAAGGCCAGCAGTGATTGGACATGCTGGAAGTTTTGGGTCATACCCAGGCAGTGCTGAAGCTATCAAAGACATTCTCGTGTCTGTTTTAAATGCATCTGGTTTGAAGCCCACTTTGGTGTTGGAGCGGAGCGCTATGCAGGGAGCGGAGCATCTGGACAGTGATGTGGAACAGTGGGAAGAAAGCAGCGCTGGGGGCAGCCATGATGACAGTGACAGTGATTCTGCACATCTCAACACTGCCTGTACACAAACGGACATTCGGTTTACAAGGCCCCGAGTATGTTGGAACAACACAGATTGTGATTCCCCCAAACCTTCACTGGATCCTTTCCCTTGTCCTCAGTACACTGATGGAGATCCTGCTGCTTCCTCCTTGAATGGTTTCACTCTTTCAGGCATGGCCCCTCAGAAGCGTGACTGCTTTACCCAGGTGACATTGACAGGAGGCACCATCACATCCACTGTTGTGCATTCTGGAAAAGAATTTTATACCTCCCCTGAAACAGACTTGGCTTTCACAAGGTTGCTTTCAGATTCAACTGTCAGTAAAACGGATCTAGTGAAATACCCTTATGCCATGGAGCCTGCACCTCTCAGCAACAGTGACAAGTCTCCCAGTGGTCTTTCCCAGTCAGAGCCAGTCAATCCAACAGGTAACTTCACAGCTGCATTTTGTTGAGAGATTTCTGTGCTAGGAAAGACAACTGTAGTCTTTGTTTATGGTGATTGCAAATTAGACAAATGCTGCCATTCAAAACAGAAGAGAGGGGAGAAAGCTTAAAAATCAAGGAGAACCAGACGTTTCAACTCAGTAAAATGGGAGGCACCTTTTCTATGAAGACAGAGTTGGGGTTGTTCATCTTGGGGAAGGCTCTGGAGAGATCTTGTAGACTTAGAGGGGGGCTTATGAAAAAGAGAGAGAGTGATTTGATATTAGGAAGAATTTTTTTTACTTTGGGGGTGGTGAGGCACTGGCACAGGTTGCCCAGGGAAATTGTGGATGTCCCATCCCTTTAAGATTTCAAGGCCAGGTTGGATGGGGTCCTGAGCAAACTGATCTGGTGAGTGATCTTTGAGAGACTTGGTGTAGTGGAAGGTGTCCCTGCTCAAATGGGATTTGGAATGAGATGGTCTTTAAGGTCTCTTCCAACCCAAACCATTCTATGATTCTATGATGATAGATTATAAACTTCAGAAAAATATTGCAACTGAGGCCTGATTTTTCTGTTGGAATACAGGCAAAGAGCAGGGAGTGTTCATCCTACCTTTGTATTATAAAGAAAAATAACAAAAGCTATGGTTTGTTGGTTTGTTTTGATTTGGTTTTTTCTTCCTTTGGTCAATAGTAGTCCTGGTGGTTACACTCCACTGACCTCCACTGCCAAGTTCTGATCCTTTCTGGATGTTAACCCACAGCTCCTCCATGGTCTAAGTTGGCAGCCAGGTCTCCAACAAGTGAGTGCCATTGCAGGACAGGGTGCAGGACAGGGCTCTTAATGACACCTCTGCCATCCGGGACAGGCTGTCGTCAGCAGTTAGTATGTGACCATTATGGCTCTTTCCTTCTGCTGGGTGTGTCGTTTGCTCCGTGCCTTTGACAAGTGCCTGTCAGGGAGAAGGAAACCACACCCAGCAGTTGGGGCTGGCTGAGGCTAGTCATGCATGTTTGGGGAGCTGGGTCTGGAAAACACAGACCAGGCTCCAGGTCAGCAGGAACTGTGAGGCACGTGTGGAAGAACAAATAAATTGCGCGTGACTCGGCATTCTGGCATGAGTCGGATGTGTCACAAGCTGATGTTGGGGTAGTCGCACTGCTGGCTCTTCAGAAAACAAAGGGAGCAAGGAATGTGACAGCCAGGTGACTGAAGAAGAGCATCCTTGCTTTTACTAAAAAGTACTCCTCATAGGAGGCAAGGTCCTGTTAGACACTTCACAATGCATTGTGCTCTGTCTGCATTAGACTCAGGCCTGTTCAGTGTAAAGTGAAAACTTCTGCATTCCTTTTTGCTTTTAACCATTTAAGTCGCTACTGGATAGCTTGGACAATGAGGTCTCTCTCTTCTGCACTGTCTAGTACTATGAGGTTGTGAAAAGTGAATAAGAAAATGAAAAAGAAGAAACACAGTGTCTAATTTGAGGGCAGGAATTACACACTAGCATTTTCTGACTTACTATTTTTTCAGTTGCTATCTGAGAGATGGTGGTTTCTCACAGGAGAATTCCTGAGGAATGCACAAAATACAAGAAAATGACGTATTATCACTTAAATCAGAATATATAATTTTTTCAGTGGGATTTGCTTTTTGTTTAGTGGAATTTTCTGCTGGTCCTCTGAGATTCTTACTAGGCCTTGTTCATATGTTTGAGACCACCAGAGAAGGGCCCTTATTCAACCTTCTAAATAGGCTCTGTCATCGTTAGTGCAGAGCTTATGACTGAGTTTGGTGTTTTCCGGGGCTGGTTCATCACTGACAGTTCACCTGGCTTTTTCTTACTTTTAACCTCTGTACATAAAGGTCACTTCCTTCTTGGGCTCTTAGGGCTCTTTCCCCAGCCTCAGCACACTCCAGGCAACACTGCTCCAGAGCAGAAGGGCAACCAAATAATTGTTCTGCACCAGACCCAGTGTTGCATCCCATTGCTGGGTGTGCTTCTTGCCTGTGCTTCTTTTACATTCTATTTACTCAAAGATGCAAGTGGGATGCAAGAGTTAAGCAAAGAGCAAGCTCATATTAGATCTCAAGGTCATATTTAAGTGAATTGTGTCTTATCTTTTAAAGAGAAAGGAATAATTTTCCCATTTCCTTATATCTGTTTATTATTTTTAGTTTAGAGAGTAATGTTTGGTATCTTAACTGGTGAGAATATAGTCTTTTATCAAGCTATAGAGCTTATCTAGTAAAATGAATCATCAGGTAGGTATGAAAATAACTTAATTAGGCCATTAAATCTGTTTTGAAAAGTCATATTGTCAGCCTCTGTTTTCCTTCATGGTATGCACAATGGAGGTATTAATAATTCTGTACAAAAACCCTCCGTCTGTGTCGCTACACTTGAGCATGCTATTGACTTTCCAGTTGATGTCATTGATGCTCAGGGCACCATAATGTAATTTCTCCAAGTAAGCCCATATAAATAATCCAAACTAGGCCTGAGAGTCAGTGCCCCTTAACTGGAAAAAAGGTTTGTATAAATTATGATCATATTTTGTGGGATCTCTTTAGCCTTTCTATGACTTTTGGACAAATTTAGGGAAGGCATTTTTTTAAATAAAAAGCTGTTGATTAAGCCATGCTATTTGCAAAGGCTTTAAATGGTATCTGTGGTGGACATTTGCTACCACATGTGCTGTTTTATCCTGTAAACATCACGAGAATGAAATGCAAACTGCTTGAGTTCAAGGTGCAAGAAGAGAGTAAACACCAGTAAATACTTGATATGTGCTCTGCTGTTCAGTGAAAAGCTCTTTTGGGGGAAAAAGAGACAAATTTTGTTTCACATGCTCATCATACTCATCAATGAATGCTGGGAAAACAAAACTGCTATTGTGGGAAGCAAGGAATACTGTGGCTAATGCCACAGCTGGACATACTACCATTCAGTATGGATTGCATTTGGAAATAGGAGGAAGATTTCCTCGGGGTATGGAAACATAATGGCAAAGTGTTTTCCAAATTTACTGTAGTCACACAATGCCAGCAGTGATACGGGGAATCTTTTAAAGGCTGGTGCATTTCTCTGCATGCCTAGTCAGCAGTGAGATCTGTGTTTCTTCCAGCAGCTGTGTGAATGAGCAGAGCACAGGGTTAGCTGGCTGTGTCACCAAGTGCAGAGCATCACTGCAAATCCAGCCTCATGTTCTGTTTGTGGCTGACCCCAACAGTTCAGGCCACAGACTGGAGAGAACTGGTGAGGGAGTGCAGTGGTGCTGTCACAGCACAGCATTTAAACTGTGTTTCTCTGGTGGTTGATGTTCATGCTTCAGGTTGCCAGAATAGTTCACATGCCAGCACGTTTCTCACATTTTTCTCCTCCTTAGCTTCTACCACAGCCTCCAGCCCCGATGGTATTCAGCTGTGGGAAAAAATAGTTTGGTTTGCTTTTTGGCAGTCACCCTGCGTGCATTGTGGGAGCTGCAGAGGAAGAAGTAACTAATAAAAGTTCTTATTATACCCACAGGTTCTACTTCTCCTTTGAACATAAGTGCTATACCCTTGAATCGTTCATTGCAGGACATCTGCATGCTTCCAGAGGATGTGGAAAAGGTGAGGACCACAAATGTTTTTTACATTTCATACTGGCAAAACCAAATGACAAGAGGTGTTTCTCAATAAAAGAACTTCCTGAGAGATGTACTAATCTTTASAAATACTTGATTTCCCCTCTTCTTGTCCTCTGTGGGCAAACCTACAAGCCTAAATTACCTATTTTGTAATTTATTTTCTTCTCTTTATCCATTAATTAAATATTTTAGTTCTTTTAAAATAATGCAAATATATAGGAACACTGTACATTTACACATTTCATTCCCTAATTCCCCCACACATTGCTTGAGAACAAACTTTATGATTACTTTAGTAACTTTAAAGTTTCATTAGAGTATGCTAGATAGAATTTGTTGAAGCTTCATGCATGTGGATAGGATTTACCTCATGCTTTTACTGTCAAAAGGTGGGAAGAGGATGGCGGTTTTTGTATGTGCTCATGATGAGCATGTGAGATTACTGTCAAAGAATTATAGAATAGATAACAAGCACAATAACTCAATAACAGTTGCAGTAATTCAAGCAGTTTCTCATGGTTTCTACTAAGGGCCCCAAACAGTCTTAGGTGTGTTGCCAGATGGGCAGTCCACTCAAGCTTATAAACAGAGCTAAAGATGAGGTGCTAAAGCTGTCTCACATAATTCTGTGTGCTAAATGTTAATCTTTTCCAACAGTGGAAAAAGAGGGGTTAATGGATTGCAATAAGTAGGATTTAATATAAATGGCTTTAACAATATGCCTAGAAAAGGAGATTTTTTGCTGGGCTGTGTGCATGTGGTCCCATGTCCTGGGTTCAAGAGGTAATCATCTTTGTACAAAACACTGGTTTTACTGGAGTGGCAAGTTCTGCATTTGATTTGAAGCTCTCAACATCCATAAGGTGTATTTCAAACAACAAAGCCCACTCAATGAGTCGCACACCAAAACTCAATAAACTTGTGAACTAGCTTTTCATGCTGCTTTGTTTGAAAGGCGTTTCAGAAAGGAGACAATGTTTCCCCACCTGTAATGTGGGAACTAAAACAAAAGTAATTTGCTTCAGACACCAGGAGACCTGTGAATAGATACCTGGATTAGAAACCACAATCTCACAATCTGGGTATTAAATGAGCCAAGATTTTATCACCTACTATTACTGTTAGGAGATTGGGGTCTGATGTGATTACAGGTTAAAAGATTGCAGGAGCACAGTCCCATTCATAATAAATAAATTGTAAAGCCTGCCTTTAAAAAACTCCAAACAACAAAAAACCCCCAACCAAACAAAAACTACACCAAATATTTTTAGCTTGTGGAATAATCTCTTTGAACTTTAGGACTGAAAACTAAGGTACTTGTGGTGTCAGCAAGTCCAAGAGTTGATGTTGTGTGCCAGGAAGGAAATGGGTCAGACAATTTTAAAGAGGCTTTCCACTGATCTGAGTGGGTGGGAATAGAAATGAGAAGGTTATTGTGTCACAGCTGAGTTGGGACTGCTTCCTAAGGTGAGGGAGCTAGTAGGCAGGGATGAAAGCTGATAATAATGCTGAATACAGAAGTCCCTGTATTCTGTTTCATCTTTTTGCAGTGGAGCTCTCTCTTATACTGATATACTGTGCTCTTCAGTAACCTGAGGCTTTTTAAATCTTTAAAGTAGGAGATACCTCCCAAAATGAAAAAAGGCTGTTTAATTATTTCTTTGCTAGTGGAAAGATAGGAAACTCCTGGACTCCTGAAGTTCACTGAAAGTTACCTCTAGAGAAACTGTGCACCAAACAAGTAATGTTAATCAGTGTTGGGGAAAAGATAAAAGATATCCAAACACCCAGAGGTACTTGGTGGGTGTTTTCTAATTCTAAGATTAATCTTGTCTACATGTATTTGTCTGTGAGCAGTAAGAAAGCTGTGCTGTCTGTGGTGCTCCTTGAGATTTAGCTATTTCTAGACACTGATGTCTTTCTTCATGATTCCCACACAAGTTGAGGGGATGTCATGAATAGTGATATTGAGTGGTACAATTTTCTGAACGTAAGCGATTTCTATAGAGCTTAAATTATCCTGCACTCAGAATCTCTAGCCTTAGATACTCTCCAGCTTAGATACTTACTACAGCTTTTTAGATGTAAGTTTAGGTTTGCACATTGTAGTTGAGAGGAGAAAGGGAGAGTATCCTGGCTACCTCTGGGTTTCCACCCAGGCACCTGAGTATAAGTGTCTGTCCATGATGTATCCACTTTTGAGCTGAGACTGGTCTGAGAACTGTGCCCAGGCTATCAGCAGTAGCTCAGGTCGGGGTGGTGCGATGCTCTGTTAGACCTCAGCAAGCAATGGATACAGCAGTGATATGAGGATAGGGAGCCTGAGGTGTGTGTAGATGTCTCAGTGGTCCCTTTTCATAGAGAATGGGTGACCAGGGCAGCCAAGATGGCAAGGGACATCATGAGGAAATGTTGTCTGTTTTGGAAATGCTACAGTGAAGCATTGGAACAGCTATACCATTTTTCAAGGCAGTGGTAAGCCCGTGGTAGCCAAGTTCCCACTTACCCTTATCGCAGACCTTCTGTGTAGCTAGAGTTGACCATGTAATCCATCACTGCATATTCCCTACTTCACTGTCCTAACTCTTAAAGCATAAAAACATTTTACTAGCTCCTGTTCTTCCCACCACATGAAGATCTACACTGCATTCAAAACTTGTCACTTCTGGCCCCTCCCAGTTAGCATGTGTGCAACACTGCTCGTGCACATGATTTGTAATTAAATCATGTTAAATACGTTACTTGGATGCATGCTTGCATACTAAATAATGCAGCGTAACTAGAAAACTGCACTCTAAAATGCATATATATATATATATATATATATATATATATATATATATATGTCAGTTAGTCATGTAACCAAGTTCATTTTCATCTAATACATGGGTAAGATAAAAGTAAATTGTATGTTGCAGTCAAGAGTGAGACAATTGTCTGGGCAGTTGCATTTTGCATATTGTCTCTGAATTGCCCTTGGGGTGATTTTTTTGTGTTTAAATAAAAGGTGTGATAGATTTGCATTTTTCTTTATAGAGTTGAAAAAGTAAGGGGGTAGAATTATATATTTCAATTCATCTTAACTAAATATCAAATATGCTGTGTACTAATGAACTTTGCAATCCTGTGTCCAGGAAAACGCACACTTTTTTGTTGCGGATATGATTATAGCATCGCTAGAAAAAATGAAATGTAATATCCTAAGCCAGCAACAAGCAGAGTCCTGGGGTGTGGAGGAAACAAGTGCCTCAGATGGCAGCTATCATACCGATTCAGAGTTACCTTCTTACTCTGGAGTGAGGAAGTCTGATTCTTCTGTTACCTCTTCAGACAGTGGTTATGAAGGCAAGTTACTTAATTTAGAATGTAACCTTGTCTGAAAGCCTTTGCTGTTTGTTTCTGTACAAGAAAATAGTAAATAGATTGGGGCACTGCTTGGAATCAAATCCTCTGTTACCTTCTTTGAGTCTCTGGGGAGCTGGGTCCATTGAGGATCACTGTGCCACAGGTATGTTTCCTGTGGGTCAAATACTTTCGTTTTGGATGCTCACACCTGTGTTTTATTTATTATAATAATTTCTCACATTAAAATTGAAATTTAAGGTTCAAGTGCCACAATCCAAGCATGACTTTCCACAGAGTGTGCCTGTAGATGGCTGTTTTTCTCTCTGCTTAAATCCTTTCTTCTTTTTGTAGTCTTTGCAACTTGGCTCTTAATGTGTTTGCTTCTGCAGTATGCAGATGAGGCCATGCAATTGGTTTGAGTGACACTCCCCAGAGTATTCACTCACATATCGTTGAAGGCAAGATAATAAATTTTCCTGGCATTATAATGCTTGAGTCATTGCATTTTGAGCACATGCATTTTTAAGTAATTTTAGTCTTTTAAGCAGTACAGATCTTAGGAATGGATAATAAGTCTAAAGTCTAAATGACATAACTTCTGTGGAAAAATATGGGGTGCTTGGATATGAGAAGGGCCAAGACCACTGATAATATAAAAGATTTGGGTTTATCACTACAAGATTCTGGCTAAGAAACTGAGGAGCATACACTGCAGGACAGACTCCCAAGAACGGGCCTGCCCTGTGTATATATAAAAACAATTAAAATTGCTCTGTAAGCACATTCGGTGTGCTAAAGTTTTGGTAAGTGGTGAAAAAGGTAAACATAATTGCAGCTACTTATAAATGCAGGAGAAGTTTAACTGATTTTATCCTTGTCCTTGACAGGCTCTGCTTTGCTGCCTGCCAGCTCCCCAGTGCATCTAGCATCACATCATGAGGTTACCAGATTTCGTTGCCACAGTGATTCAGAGGATGAATATGTAATTATTGGTAAGACTTTAAAATTGTAACTGCAGAAACTGATTTATTGTTCAGTTGAATCTATTCCATTGTTTGGGAATTCTGTTGATTTAGTAGATGTTATCATAGGAGAAATCAAATGAGAAAATGGAAACAATTAAGTGTGTGTAGCTCCTTATTAGAACACACAGAGAAATAGCAGATTGGTGCAGGATTTGCTTTCTAGAAAAGAATATCTTTGCTGGTTTGACAGTGTGGTGAGCTGACCCTGGCTGGATACCTGGTGACCCCCAAACTACTCTGTCGCTTCCCTTCTTCACTGAATCCTATTACTAAGGATTAAACCAAAGGAATGTGAGTGAAAAAAGTGTGAACTGGCACAACCTCAGTCAACTATAGCAGCATTGTTTGAGAGAATTTAGGGCATGATCATTTCCTAAGTAAAAAGATTGACTAGGTTTTAGGCAGCCTCTCCCTTTACTTCAGGATTAGAGTAGAATGTCTCTGTTCTCTTATAGTCGTATGTCCTTTGGTTCTCTTTAGGACACCCTGGATTTTGGTTGGTTAGCTTCTGGTTTTTACACAGCCAGAAATTGAAACCCTTAAAAATAGCCTGTGTAACTTTAGCCTCGGTTTTATTTTTTCCTGATGACAAATGGATTTTTATTGTTCTTTTTGGTTTTAGAGATCTCTTTTTTCACCTTCTCTTTCTCTGATCCACCAATGAAGAACTAGCTCCCAAAAGACTGCATTCCTAGTAGCAAGAGTTACTTTGAGATGTATAAATGGGGAAACATTTGTCTTGAGAGCTATAAACATAGTCAAAACTAACACTACCAATGTGAACACCTTGCTGGCATAAGCATAATTTGTCTATGTAAACAAATAATGAACTGTGTCCTTTAATTGCATTCATCTCACCTACTACTAACGTGTTTACAGCATTAACTGGTATGTTGGTGATTGGTGTCACCRAATACCTGTCAGTGTCCAAAAATATTAATGTGGCCTCTCTTGCTTCTGTACATTATTATTTATGTTGAGTGCCTTCTAGCTGGACCTTGACCAGCAAGCACTTAGTCTCTCCCTACCATTTCTGCTCTTGGAGGCAGGCTGATGGTGATGATAGGATGCAAAGGTATTAGGGAGTATTCTTCATCATGTCAGAGATACGCAGAGGAGATAAGACTCCTTTTGCTTGTTTTACAGCCAGGGCTGAGGTTATTTCCCACATCCAGCAAGGGTGTTGTAAAAATTAATATATTTGACACTGACACTGGTAACACAGAAGGTAGATTTAAAACAGTGCTGAGTAACAGATGCTTTGTTTCTTAAGTGGCTTGATAATTTTTTCTTCTTTACTGCAGAACTTGAAGACCTTGAAAGTCTGTCTGTCGCCCCTGATAAAAGGTGTGTATCTTTACTATAACAGGCCTGTGGCACTATCTTTTCTGTTGGAGCAGCTTTCTGGTGGTTCTTCTGGCTGGGGCAGGGAAAGGTGTGGGAGTAGTAAATTTGGCCCTCCTCAGGAAGGGGAAGGAATGCTGCTTGACAGCAAGTGTCCCTGGTGCTTGGCTTAGCAGTGTTTCTCTGGTCCCTGACTCTTGCTGGAGGGTGGTGTCTGTGGCTCTTGAGGGCCTGGGTGTATCAAAGAAAAAGGGCAGGAATGAAGGAATGGGAGAGAACTTCTCAGGGATGCAGAAAAGGCAGCGGAGATGCTGATGACATGCTGCTATTTTTCACTGACGATATTCCTTACCTTCCAGATCATCTTTTGAACCAGGCAGTAATTCTGCTGAAGCAACAGCGCAGGAGTTGTGCAGAGCTTTCAGAAAATACTGGTTGCAGACAGACTCTGCCGTTCAGCTGTCTGGTTGCCTGAACTCATCGAAGCAGAGAGTGAGTCTGATCTGAAAACAACAAACTCTTTATTCAGTTCCCCAAATAATCATGGTCTCACTGCAGCTGCTTCACTGTTMGGAAAAGGAGGAAGTTACATTTAAAAAAAAAAGAAAGAAAACAAATGCAGATGAGTGCTTACAATTTATTAGTTCACTTTAGATAAATTTTTAGAAAATGTCTTCACTCTCTAGCAATTTTCAACACATTTAAGACACTTGTGACCCATGTGCTTTCTTATGGGACTGGTGTGAATTTGACTGAGGGGGAACTACATGCAGGTGAAAACTGAACTTTAAAATATCAGTGTAAACGGAGATAAACATTTCCCACAGCATTTAATATATGTCCAGCTGATAGGCTGGTTATCTTCATGACCTTGTCTTTCCCAATAGTCTGTGCTGAAAGAAGAGATTCCAAGAGAGCTTGAGTCCAGTTTGAATCTGGCTGAAGAAATAAATATCATATCCAAGTTAAGAGGATCTTCTGGCTGGTCTCCACCAAGATCGCAGATTATATTTAATATTCATCCTTCAGTCAAGTAAGTTTTACTGATCTGGGCATTATCATTTAGTATAGCTCGGGGAAAGTTTATGGAAGTAGCTTGGGTGATTAACAGATCTAGTGCATGTGCAGATGATCTGTGAACAGATCTAGAGCTGGTGCATGACAGTGTTCAGCAGTGTCTGTCACCAGCCTCACTAGAAAACAGATGGCATCTTTTTCCCTCTCTTGGCTTATCCAGGTTAACACAGCACGTGCAATTTTCCATGTGATAATACACGTACTGTTTGGTGTTACGGTAGCAGTGCTCTTAGCTCCTGAAAATTTCATTTTGTGACACCACCTGGAGAATATTCTTGGCTTTCCTCACTTTTCTGCTAATATTTCATGGACAGATGGTTTTCAGAAAGCAGGGGGAGGCACCAGGTCATGTGGGAGGAAATTGCTGTCTCACCGTGCATCAAATGCTGTTAAGTGCAGACAGTAGTCAAAGTGGCTGATCCCTGTGTTTCTCCAGGTTCAGTTACTTTTTCAATTGCAAATGTGGATTTTTCCCTCTCCAAACTTCATGATTATTGATGCCACCTTAAGCAATGGAAAATAATTTAGTTATTTCACCAAGCCACACTGAATTCCCCTTCTTCATGTGTAGGAGTAGGAATCAGCTCCTGAGGTGGAGATTCTCCCTGGTATCAGTGTAACTTTTGCACTTTGGAAGAATGTTAAGTAAAACTGTGGTTTGGGTGCTGTAAGGTCTAACTATTTGCCTCCATATACAGGAGAGATGCAGTGGTGGCAGCTCAAAAATTCATATGTGTTGGTTGTGGAACCCCGATAGAAAGCAGTAAGTACTAAAAGTGGGGAAAAAAAACCCTTAATAAGTGCATTACTAGTAATCAGACTATAATCTTCACCAACACCGAGGTATCACAGTTGTGAAACCATCTGAGCCAGAAGGAAAATCTTGTTGTTGGATGTGCCTGCAATAGTCAGACAGACATTGGAATCTTTCCAATGTCGGACTTTTTCACTGTGGCCAGAATACCATACTTGATAGATGTCCTTTTTATACACAATAAAAATTCATAACTGTCAACAACAAAACAGGCCAAAAAAAAAAATTAGGCTTCAATGCTGGAAAGTGCTTGTTTTTTACATAGTTCAGTTGTTTCTCTTAATAATTCTTTTCCTGTGCCAATTTAAATACTTCCAAAAGCCTCTTTTTAGAGACTTTATGCAAGCTTGTGGAATATGTGGTTATGTTGTTTTGGGGTGTCTTTTTAAAACTTGTTGTTTCTTTAGATCTTGAACACAAAAACTTGTTTGTTTTTTTTTTTTTCCCTCACCCAAAATTTCTGATACTTTGTGAGAAGTGCTTGAAAGCACAGTGATTTATAGAACTGACAATCAAACCTTGCCTAGGAAATCTTCGAAGTGGTGCTCAGGTCTTGCTCACAAGACCAGCGTTTGTGATGGCCTGTGAAGTATCAGCAATGTATGATGGCACATTAACACGAGCAAATACGAGATGCTGTACTAGCTGGGAAAAACCCCACAACCTCGGGGTGTGAAAAAGTAATGCTTTTAATTTAAAACATGACTCCAAAATTGGTGGAAGTATTTTTGTTGTGTATTTTATCTCATGTCTCTTTTGTGGGTAAAGCAACAGTGGTTTCTCTTAGATCTTATAGTGATAATTATGAGTTGAAAAAATGTGGAAATGAAGAAAGCTTTCTGTTCTAATGCCAAGTACAAACCTTGATATGTGTTCGCCACAATAATTAAAACCTCCTACTGAAAAAATAAAACAAACAATAAAAAATCCCTTTCCCTTCATTCAAGTACATCTGAGTTATTTAGACAGAATCGGCATACAGACAAGAGTTATGTCCCATAAGGTTTTAAAATATTAACAATTTCATTTCTGCCTACCTGCAGAATATATCAGGAGACTCCGCTATTGTGACTACCTGGGGAAATACTTCTGTGACTGCTGCCACAGCTATTCCCAGTCTTCTATTCCTGCCCGAATACTTTCCAAGTGGGATTTCAAAAAGTACTATGTGTGCAACTTCTCCAAACACCTACTGGACAGCATATGGCAGCATCCCATTTTCAATGTGTCGTGTATTAACAAAACCCTCTACACGAAAAGCAAAGAAATGGACAGGGTCAGGGTAAGTGTGGCTTTTTTTTTTATTTGGAATTTCTGGGTCTGAGAGTTTCAGGAAGAAGTTCTTAGGGCAGGATGTCCTTTGTGGTATGTATATGTGGGAAGGAGGTGGGTTGTTTTTTCTGGCTTACCCTATCACCACTTCTGGGACTTGCCTTCTCTTCCTTCAGGTGAAGGGGGCAAAGGGAGGAGTTTCCAACCTGTGCCAGAGGTCTCTTTTGCTCTGTTGTCTTTGGGAGGTGTTTCCCCTGTGGTTTCTAGTTTTAGTTCATGGAGGGCTGTTGGTCTCCTGCAGTAAATATTTACATCTTCCTGGCTTTTGACTGTTGGAGAGTTCAGAAGTTTTTGAATGACTCCTTAATTTTGTGGGCCATTAGGGGAAATACCCTTGGCTCATGTAAGAGCAGTACCTCCTACAGCTTGAGGAAGTGTTCTGCTGAAGATAGCAAGTAGGCATATGTTCCCTTCTGGGCTGAGGAGACACTTACCTGTTCCTACACAGGTTTGGGTCTAGCATGCATCAAGATCTGCAGCCATTTGTGACTGAACTTCCTTCAGTTGTCAGGGAATAAAAATAGTCTTTGTCTGCCTTTGGCTTTCTTGCATTAGAAAATCYATTTGTTTAATTCTATGCTAAGTGTAAAGTTTCTGATTTTAGGTGTGGTTTAGTGTACTTGCAAGGCTTGCTGATTCAAATAGTGGTGCTCCTCACTTATGAATATATAAATGTAATGTTTTTAATTTAAAAATGGTTTTGTTTTTCTCCTTCATCTCTTAGGACACACAAGAGCAGCTTTTTCATTTAAAAAAGCTTTTGAAAACCTGCAGGTTGGCTGAAAGGTATGGACTGTGATTATGCATGAAAAATAGCTTAGTAAAATGTACATGAYGTGCTTATAGGGCCTTCTTCTCTAGAGACATTTGGGTGCAGTTTTAAATATGTTGGTGTAATGAGAGAACTCTAATAACAAAACTACATTTTATTGCACTGCAAATGCTGAGTGAAGTAGAAGTTTTATGTGGTAGCTGTTTTTTGTAACATAGTTAGACATTTGGTTTCTGAATGCTGAATGATTTTAGTTAGGGCTGTATTTTTTCCTGTTCCGTCTCCCTTAGGTCCTCATTGATTCTTAAAAGTTCAAAGATACTTACTTATCTTTCTGAGAATATTTGTTTTTAAAAAATATGTTGTGGTTTTCTTTCTTTTTTTTATTAACAACTATGTTCCTTGAGGATTTAAAGATTTCTTCCACAAATCTGTCCTAATGCTCCATTTGGTTTATTCTATAAAAATATTCAAATGAAAGTAGTAGTAACCAAAAGTGATAAAGGCCAAAACATGACCTTGCTTGTTGCTAGAAGTGAAAGATTTTTGGTGTTCACCTTTCCAAACTGGGCATAACTAATACGTAGACATGTGAATAATAAGACCATTGCTGCAGAATTGCTGACCTTTTTAAGAACAGGCATAAGCAAAATACAATTTAAAAATAGATTCTGTTTTCTCTTTGGCATAGACCTCTTCTCTATGCATTAATTACATGTTGTTCTCCAAAAGCAAATAGAAACATGTTTTTGTCTCTCCTCCCTGTGGTTCCATTACCGAAATAAATATTAGGATCGCTGTACCTTCTATTTGCATCAGTGATATTTTAAAAGCAATAGCTGTTTCCAGTGTTCACCTGCTCAACACAAGCACAGTTTCACACAGTAGGGACTTATGCAAGATAAAACCCCTCAAAATCCTCTTTGCAAAGCAAGTAAATAAGCCTAGTTTAAGAGATACTATATGGGATTTTACCTACTGTTCCTGAGGTAGGAGAGGGCCCTTTACACATTATTTAAGGATTGCTGGGATAACTGTATGGCATCTCCAATGCTTGAGGAATGTACAGTTAAAAGCAGATAGTTCATTCTAAATCTTTAAACCCTCCAGTTTTTATTAAAATTACCTCCAACTGGAAGGGGAAGTAGGATATAGCATACACTTGCCTTGTATAATCCCAGTGTGACTACAGAAGTGAAAGAGGCTTATTCTGAAAATGTACTTGAAAAGCAACTTTTTATAACTTGAATTGGGTTCTATTTCTCTTTGCTTTCAGTGTACTGAAAGAATTTAAACAAGTCCCCAGCCATCTGACAGAGGAACAGCATCTATTCTCACTGGATGATCTGGTGAAGATCAAACGAGGGCAGTTACTGCCCCTTCTTAAAGATATTCTGAAGAGCTCCACCTCTCATGTAGATGGCTGTGAGGTAAGGAAAAAACAGGGCTCTTAGTGTCCTTGCAGCTGCTACTATGAGGAAATACCCTGCTGCTGTTCCCAAATTTTTTTTTGTAGATATAAATTCAATCCTTTTTGTGTCGTTCTAGCTCTGTCAAGCAAAGGGTTTTATCTGTGAATTCTGCCAGAGTGCAGACCTGCTCTTTCCATATCAGACTGCCAAATGTAAAAGGTGCCCAGGTATGTTCCCGACCAAATGTTTTTTGTTTTTTCCTTGGGGAGATTTTAGTGTATAAAACTGTTTAGATTTATTTTAAACATTGAAAAATAGCTTCACTGAAAGCATGCATATTTGAAAGCCTGCATGAGCATTTGGCAACCATGGACAGCATGTGTCTTTGAAAACCAGCCTATGGCAGCTGTTTCATATCAGTGAATTCAGATGGCAAAAACAGAGGTTTGCCTGAACAGGGTTATGCTTGCAGGGGGAGGCTACTTTTTGTGTCTATGCATGAGAGAGCTGTTTGAGCAGGTCTTGTCTGCAATCATCATAAATTAATACAGTGGTGGCTGTTGTCCTGACCTTGCACTGCTTCTGTTTACTTTTGTACTGATGTGTACATGATAGAGCATCATTCAAGAAACACAGCTATTGATTTTTCTTTTTTATTCTGTTCTTTTTTTCCCTCTGAATGCTACTCTGTATGTATAAACAGAGTGCAAAACATGCTTTCACAAAGCATGCTTCAAGTCTGGAGGCTGCCCCAAATGTTTGCGGATCTCAGCTCGGAGGACGCTTTCAGAAACACCATCACTGGTGCCTCAGTGAAACTGGATTACTCTGATTGCTGACTTCAGAAGATGCTCAAAGCCAAATCTTCAGGTGCATGACTAAGAGTTAAATAATGTTGTTTTAGACATTACTGTTTCTAATGCATGTATCCTTTATGTGGGTTAAAATTAAAAAAAAAAAAAAAACAAACAAAAAACAAATGTCAGCTTTATTATCCTCATTGAAAACTTACCCTAAAGGAGTTTCATCTTATCTGGTGACAGACTGGATGTAATTTTTTTGGGCAGTGTTTTGTTGCTATGTTTTGTCCTTGTATGTAAGATTTTTAATACTATATTTTTTCATGTAAAAATGATTCGTCTCTGCAATTCTGCAGATAATGTATAGATAGTAAATGAGTGTTGGAAGTCCTTGCCTTTGTTTGACTTTGGAAATGGGGGAAAAGTGGTTAAGTACAAAATCATTCTCTAAAAAGTTCTACAATACATAGAAAAGACTTGTCTGCAAGCTTTAGGCAGATGCTAATCTGAAATTGCTGTGGCAAATGCTTATTCTGAACCATTGAATTTTAAGTTTCTTTTAAACTCATCTATGCAACAGCTTGTGGTGGGTTGACTTGGCCTGCTGCTAGAAGCTCACACAGCTGCTCTCTCACCCCATTCCCCAAGAGGACAGAGAGAGAAAATAAGATGGAGGAGTTCACAGGTTGAGGTACAGACAGGGAGATCACTTGCCAACTACTGTCATGGGTGAAAAAGACCTGATTTGGGGAAAATTAAATTTATTGTAAATTAGAAATCGAGTAGGGTGGTGAAAAGCAAAGACTAAACCAGTAGGATCCCCCTACCTTCCACCCATTTTCCAGGCTGAACTTTGCTTCTTCATTCCCAATTTTTCTACCTTATAGCCTGCCCCAAGTGGTGCAAGGGGGATGGGGAGTTGGGATGGCTGTCTGTCCATGACTGCTCGTTTCTCCTTCTCCTGCCTCCACACACTTTTCCCCTGCTCCAATGTGAATCCTTCCCATGGGCTGCAATCTTTCAGGACAAACCTGCTCCTGCACAGGCTCTCCAGGAAGATGTAGTTCCTTCAGGAAATGTTGATGGGCTTCAGTGGTGTCCTTTCCGTASACTGCAGGGGAATCTGTGCTCTGATACCTAAAGCACCTCCTCCTCCTCATCCTTTTTCACTGGCCTTGGTGGGTGTTTTTGCTTCTGTTTCTCATGCTCATTCTTAAAGATATTTTCTTAGAGGTATTACCATCTTGGTTGAGGTGCTCAGCCACATTCCACACTGTGTCCATCAGAGCTAGAAGCAGTTGTATATGGCATGGGGCAGTCCTAGACTCTTCACACAGAGGCCACCATGCAGCACCCAGTGCCAACATCTTGCCACCTCCACCAACTACTCCGCTTTAGAAGTTTCTTTCCAGAACACTTAGAAATGTGAGGAGAGGCAATGAGTGATCAGGAGAGGTGCTCCCATTTAAATCCACCCTCACAGCAGACCGAGTCCTTGCCTAAAGGTGAAGTATTGGAAATTCTTTCCCTGCCTGGTTGGTTACTTCTATTGAAGCCCTTGCCTTCAGAAAGGTAGAGCAGCTGCTTGAACCTGTAAAACCGTTTTTCTGTTTGTGCTATGAAGTACCAACGAACAGAGAAATCCCAGGACCTAAAAGCACATATCAATGTCCTCATTTCTCCACTGGGGTGCTTATAGCATTTTGAATTTTTTTGTTCTTATTTTTTCTTCTCCTCATCTGCTTSCTCCACTTTTAGCAAGGAAAGGGGCTGTTACCTGGGACTGTGTAAGTTCACCTCCACAATAATGTTAATAGTACTACTAAGGTCATTAACACTTCCACTAATCTATTTTTTCTGTGATCAAAAACAGCTTACCTACTTACTGCTCTGAAGCAAGATTAGCATCTCTTACTCAAGATCAGCAGTGCAGGGTAAGATGTGGTAAGAAGGAGCCTGCTTATGCAGCTGACTCTAATATTACACAAGAGTAAATTCTCATTTAAGTTGGGTGCACAACTAACTGAATCACATGAAAAGCCTTGCTGCAGGGATTTTGTGCTTATGAAGGAGTAGACTTGAATGATCCTTCTGTGGAACAACCTGCAGGGCAGCTGAATACATCTTTTTCACTATTCATTAATTTAGAAGAGCCAGATCTGGTTTCTGGCTGTGCTTTTCATAAATGTTCAAGTCTTATTAATCAGTAGCAGTACGCAGGAGGGGGAGTGTCAGAGAGCAAGTTTCGTGCATCAAGTGTTGATATTTCACATGTGCTCAGTTCAGTCCAGGTCTCCATAGAGCATGTGCAGCTTATCCTCATGAATTATTGCTATCTTCCACAACACAGGTTGCAGCAAGAGCAGATCCTCAATAACTCTGTAAAGCTGGCAGAAAGCAGAAGGCCTGAGAGTATCAACATGCTGATAATCCAAGTAAAACTGGTTAAAACGTTCTGCTGCTGAAGCTGTAGTGAGTAGGACTAAGTTGTGAGGTGCCAGCAGGCCGGTCCCATCATGGGAGGAATAACAGAGGTCACTATTTCCTACAGTTTAAGGGATACTGCTTTTTACTTAGCTCTGGAGGAGGGTCATACCAAACGCACATTCTTCTGTGCTGGTGTCAGCTCAGGATAGCACAGGAACATCCTCAGGCTATTCACCCTGAACGTCTTCTCTGGTGAGCAGCAAGGCCTAGGTGACTAGACCTGTAGACACAAACATTTATGTGTGGCTGAGGTGAGAGTGTCTTCTTATTAGTGCTGTCCCAGGATAGCAAAAAGCAACCATGATGAAATTGAAAGGATGCATTATCTTTCCATATTTGGTGATAAAGTGGTTTGGGCAGAAAAGGATGACTTCTGTGCTACACACCCTCTAAATGTCTTTAGGGTGTAGCCAATTTCTTTCAATCCAGTTTTGAGACTCATTAAGCTTCTCAGATCGTTACTGACTCTTCATGAGCATATCTCATATCTCTGTGGATAAGTACTGACTTTGGTAATTTCTGAGGCTAGACAAGATGATAAGGCAGATCGAAGACAAGACTTTTCTTTTTAAGAAGCAAAAGCAATATGGCTACAGTAAACTTCTTTGCAGGGAGTAAAGTCCTACAGTCCTTACATATGTAAGTCCTGAATTCTTTGATAGGAGCTGACCTGAAAGGATTAGGAAAATTTACCAAGGATTTGGGCCAGTTCAAAACTAGCTGCCTGCTAGCTAAAAAGCTGAACATGTTTCACATGTTACAACAGACCTGACTCTTCAGCTACAGAAAGGGAGTTGTCAAACTTGTCTGGTTGCCTGAGCAATGACAAGCAAAGCTTGTTCTTTGCTGGGGGGTTTTATGGTACCATGTGGATACAACAGGAGCGCTGCGGAGGACACTACTGGAAGAGCACTCTCAGGGGCTTTGAAGGTAGAGAAACCTATTCCTAGCTAACTGCCTGCCTTACTCCAGAGGGAGAATTCAGGCAAAGACAGTTTTATTAGTAATTTCCATAGGCACAAGTTTTCAAAGAAATACAATCCTAGTATGTTATTCTTGCAGTTATCTATTTTACCTGCTTTTTCAATAGTTACTTCTTTGTATTGATTAGTTGTATTTTCCTTCTTAGTTTCAGTTACGAGTTTTCTGGAGGTGGAAATGCTTTGCTAAGACTTTGTGCAGTGCATTAAAGCCAGGATTTTTCATGATGTATCATACAGCCACTACTATAAACAACAGAGTAATATTAATTATCAGGTGTAGTATGCTCTCACAAGTACAGATCTTGTTGTGATTGTAAGCAAGTATGTCAAATACTTAAGTAGTTTTATGGGTCCATAGAATTCCAGGGATGTCTGCCACACCCATTCACTTCAAGAGAAGAAAACATCCATGTGTTTTACAAGAAATTATATTTTGGCTGCTTTTGCACACAGTGTATACAAACTTTGTCAGCAAGAGTCTTTCATCCCTTGACAAGCCTATTTTCATGCTTTTAATCTTTTAAAGGGAATCTATCTTGATTTCCCCACATATGCTCTATGACTGCTGCTTGATACAGCTTTCATTTAGGCCAGCAGTGTGAATGCTCTGAAAAACACCTGAAGTCTTCTCTAAGATATCAGTTTTACTTACATGGTTCAGCTCTGACAATTATTGGTATCCTTTGGTCTAGTGTACTTGCCCTCCTTTGTGATTCTGTACAGGTCTACTAGACCCTTTAATTTTGTACATGTAAGTGCCACGTTTCATCACACATTGTGTTATCTGTCTAACCACAGACTGAAAAGTCTCTGGAAGATTGCAAAACCAGGAGGTCATTAATGGAAATATGAGTAAAGGAAGGAAAAGAGAGATTGGAGTTTTCTATTAGGAAACAGAATCATAGGATCTTCAAGGTTGGAAGAGACCTTTAACGTCATCCAGTTAAACAGATTTACAAGGATTTGGGTAGTGTACACATTAGTGGAGTGTTGAAAGAGCTAAAAGAAGTTCTGCACCAAATAAGTCAGCTATCCTGTCTTCCATGGCAATATTTTACTTTTGTCTAGATTAAAAGGAAAAATGCAGGTTAAATCTGTTACCAGGAAGTTAAACTTGCCCAGAACTGGTCTCTGGTACCAAGGAAAATTTGTGCAAGATGGGCCAAATTGCAATACTCCATGCTTTTGTTCACTGTGAGTCACCAGATCCAGCATTCCTGTTGTGAATGACCCCACATCCATGCTAGTCTGTTCCACATCACCTGGTCTGTTCCTGCTGTTGGGAGCCAGAATTGTGCCATGTTTAGGCTTAGCAGTCAGTAGAGCTGTCTGTGATTTAACTAGAAATAACTTCAGTGGCTGTCCCTGGGTTGCTGTAGCCACTCATGATCAGGAAAGTTTACAGGTTTGCGGCTGCCAATTATTTGCCTTCCATAAAATGCTGGCACCTACCTAAATTATTTTTCCTTACCAAATTGCTCAAGGTTTGCTATTTTAGGACTTTTTGCGTCTTAAGGAAGTGGAAAAAAGAAGTGGTTTTTTTCTGTCTCCCCACAATTCAGGTTTCCCTTCAGTGTATCATTTTCTCTTCACCTATTCACAGCCAAACCAAATGCAGTGCCAGCCTGCTCTAAGCATGGGGCTGGACAGCAGGGGGACTTGGAGGACAAATATGATCCCCAAGAGGGTCAAGAGTACCAAAGCACCATTTGCCTAGAAAGCAAGCTGGTTTATATAGAAGGATAGTAAGAAATTGAGGAATTTGTCCACCTAATTCTGGTGAGCAAGAGCCAGATTCTCCATAGCCTTCAAGGATATAAGGGTGAGTGTCTGTGGAAATACCATGGAGTACCTGTGCAATTGCAGGCATGGATGGTATGAGCAGACCACCACATAGACAGGGAAACCTGACCCAAGGAAGCAGCAAGAGTTGGACACCAAAATGACCAAGTGTCCAACTGCAGGGATCATATCCATGGCACAGATTTTTGTAGTAGCAGTGCCCATTCCACAGCCCTGGGGTGGTACCTGCTTCCTAGTACATTACAAATGAAGCCAGACATCAATGGCCAGGATCCCATAAAAAGTGCTGAATTCCAGATTAAAGAGGAACTGAATAAGAAAAAAAAAACATTCCTCTGAAGGCCTTATTTCAATAGTCGTTTCCAGTGACAATTTTTCCATTGCCTAGGGGTCTTCTCCTCAGGCCCAGAATTGCCCTAGTCTGAGCATCTCAGTTCCAGTTTCCTGCCTGTGATTTCAAAATGGTGAAGTCTGCCTGAATGATGGACAGATGCTTGCTCAAGAGAGCCCAGGGAACTGGGGGAAATGTTTGTGGAGCATCTTTCAATATCAGCTTATAGCTGGGAACGTAATTTTATTCAAGTGCCTGTCTGAACAGTGCAGTGTCTGGATGTTCTTGGATCTGTTTGGACAATGGACATTTGCAGGAGTTGAGCTGGACTGATTTTGGACAGCTGCTCCCACTGTTCCTGTGTCACTTATCTGAAACGATCTGACTTGGTTTACTTCCCCAAGCAGCAGCAGCAGTTCCTCTTGGATTCCTTTCTCTGCTATTTTAGTCAAGGCATTTCCAGTTGTCCATAGAGCAAGATTCAACAGACATAAATCTCCACTGTTRAAAGCCCCTCTTCTCCTAGGCCTGCTTGCTTTATTCACTTTTTAAAACATTTTTGCCTCTTTACAGTCTAGGTGAATGTCTTTATGATAAAGTAAATAAAATAATAAAATACTGTTGCTATTCCATAAACTAAGGATGATATGAAGGAAGACGTTTGCAAAAAAAAAAAAAAAATAAGAAAAAAGAAAAGAAAAATGCTGTCAGGTCCTTGGGAAGACAGCACCAAAGAGCATTTATTGGAAGAAAGGGATCATAGTGCCTTGCATAAATCAGAAGGAATGTGGTGGTGTGGTCACTTCAAAGCAAGTCAGTGAGTGCCAAAATGCTACTCTTGTGCATGAAGGAGCATGATGTGGGGAAAGTAGGGTTTATTTGCCTCACCTGGGAGACATTTCACTGTGCTCTTATCTCCGTCCAAGACTTACTGCAAATCAAGCTCCCCCTCCCCGAGTTCTCAGAAAGTGAAACTAAAAGCTGGAATGGTTTTACTGGAATAGGATGTTTTTAGTCCTCCTACATATTTCATGGATGAGGCAAAAGAATGTGACTTAATAATTTATGTCTCAGCACAGAGGATATATCCATGCTTCTATAACAGAGGATTCCCTAAAAGATAGCTTGGAAAATACTTTGGCACAGCACTTTTCTGTGCCAGCACAGCACTAACATGGCCAGCATGTTGTGCTGTGTTACACTACAAAAAAAAAAGAAATTGTGGTCTATGTCTGAAACACAGCCACAGGGCTGCTTAGAAGTGTAAGAAAAGATTGAGAAGTCACTGAAGTAAGGAAATATGATGGGATGAGATAATGTGTAATTATAGGAAATGGGGTAGCAAAATACAGTTGAGATGAGGCTTAAACAGCCCTGAAGAAGGTGATGGTACTGATAAGAGCACTACCCAGATGAGGACCAGCAGACTGAGCAGAGGAGCATCTCTAACCTTGAGAGACACAACAGCGATGAAGACAGACTTTATCAGGAAGGATGAAATGCACAGAGGAGGCTGACGAGGCCCTGTCTCTCCTCCATAGTGAAGAAAAGTTGGATTGTACTTCATATCAGTGTATTAGTCAGCATGTTAACAGCACCACAAATCAACTATCCCTCTCAAGAATCTGCTGTCTCAAACTCAGAGATTTGGTTGCCCCAGCCTCCCCTCTAAGTGCCTTCAAAGACAGCTGGCTCCCTCTACTTTTTCAGTAGCTCTGTGTCCACTCTAGGGCTCATTCTGTAGGTCGCAGCAGTCAGCCACGAGGCCAGTGCCAGACCTGGACAGGCTGGATTCCCCCAACTCTGATCCCCAGCATTTCTGCATCTGACAGACTCATGGGAAAGCAGAAGTAGCTACCAGCATATCCCACACACTTCCTATTTCAAAATTGCATTCTGGATAGTTAACACATGAGCTTCCTCTTTCACACAGCAAATGTGCTGCTCCAGCAGGTGCTGGCTGCTGATGGCCAAGATGCTTCCCTGGCACAATATTCCAGTTACTCCAGCCAGGAGATGGGGAAGTCCACAAATTTGTCGGAGCAACCATTTGTCAGGCCATGGGAGAGACACAGAAACGACCTCGTAGATGTGGTAGAACATGCACTCTCTCATTTTATTGCACACTCGGGAGAGTTTTTATAACCAGGCTTTCCAACGGTAACAACAGTCAAACCTAACGCTTTTTCTAACGAGAATAACAGTAACTTAACGTTCATGAACTCCTACTAATGATATGAAATGCCTTATATGGTAATTCTGCCATTGCAGGCCGCGCGTGCTGACTCCCCTCTGCCATATAGTTACATTAGTGGTTCTCACGGCCACRAGGGTACTCGGGACAGTGCCCCACTGGAATCGTTACTGTACCTGCCGGCTGCTGGCCAACGATGGCCAACGGTCCAGACTGTTCCAGAACATTCACGGGCCTTCTCTCCCTTGACCAGGCCTTAGAGAGGCCTACCACATCTCCCCTGTTTTCTTTTAAAAAAGGTCAAGTCAGCCCGAAGGACCTGCAAGAGCAAAACTGTTAAACATATCAGAAGGCAAAACTCCATACATAACAACAATAACAAGAATAACAAGAATAGAATAGAACAACAAAATAAGCAATAAAACAGCTTAACAAAACAGTTCGACACTTTGTCAGATTTGTCGACAGCCTTTCTTCATCCACCTCTTCTGTTAGTCCTTTTACAAATCCGGTAAATCTCCTTGGCAAATGGGAAGATCAGTGGCGTCCTTTTCTCTGTCCTCATTCAGTTTTTCGTCACCAGATGTAGGTGCAGGCACCTCGGGGATCGCCACCCTGGTCCATCTTGCCGGCACCCCAAAGGGGTCCTGTGGGTGAGGAAACACAAAGGTACCCTCGACCCCAGTACAACACCTTTGCCGGCTCCTGCCAAAGGCCTGTCTTTGGGTCCCGGTATCTCACCCAGACTTCTGGTGTCTTCTCTTTGTCAGTCCATTGATGGTACTTGACGACAGCAGGCATTTCATTATTCCCAAAGATACATAAGTAGTTCAAAAAAAAGAGACATTTCGACAGCCTTCCCTGAGAGTCTCCCACATCAGAATACTTTTTCAGATATTTCTTTAGGGTACCATGGCCCTTTCTATAATGGCTTGTCCAGTGGGAGAATGAGGGATACCTGTCATATGCTCTATTCCCTAGCGGCACAAAAACTGCTCAAATCTTTTGCTGGTGTAGGCTGGTCCATTGTCAGTCTTGATCTTTTGTGGTGTTCCCATGACTGCAACACAACTATAAAGGTGTCGTTCAACGTGGACAGCCTTTTCTCCTGCCTGTGCCGTTGCCCATACAAAATGACTGTAGGTGTCAATTGTAACATGAACATACTTGATCTTGCCAAATTCAGGCTCATGAGTAACATCCATTTGCCAGATTTCATTGGTCTTCAAACCACGAGGGTTAACTCCTAGTCCCAAGCCACAGTCCCCGTTGTGGTGGCTGCAGACAGGACACGCTCTAACTATAGCTCTGGCTTCACTGATGGGAATCTGAAACTCTCGCTGTAGACCCTCAGCATTCTGATGGAATATGGAATGTGCCTCTCTGGCTCGCACCTGTTGGGGTATGGGCATCACCTGGGCTGCCGAAACTAAGCTGTCGGCCCTGGYGTTACCCTCACCCAGTCCTAAGTCCCATTTATGACTTCTTATGTGGATGACAGCGAAAGTCTGCTCTCGTAGCTTGATTGCTTTTTGTAATGTCATAAACAGTTCCTGTAACCTTCTATTTTGCACTTCTCGGATAGCTGCATCCTCTATCCTTTCACATACTCCGGTTACATACAAAGAATCTGTAACAATGTTGAGGGGCTCAGCTGTATTCAGCATAGCCCATACCACAGCTGCTAGTTCCATGGTCTGTAGTGAGTCTTTTGCGGTAGCAGCTATGATGTGTTGTTTCCATTGTCCTTCTTGTTTCCATGTCACTGCGGCAGTCCTTGATCTTCTCCCTGCATCTGTAAATACTGTAATTGCATTTGGCAGTGGGATTAATGATCTCTTAGGACGAACCAACCATTCCCACTGCCCCATCCACTGTAATGGTGGATCTGGAATTCTATTCATAGCTATGACGCATCCTGCTCCCAGCAGAGCTTCTTGCAGCTCCATACTGTTGTTAAGGTACCATGTTAGAGTATCTTTTTTCATAGGGATCCAGATGTTTTCTGGTTCCATACCTGTTATTTGCAGCGCTCTTTCTCTGCCTTTCTTAATGAGCTCTGTTAACATCTCAATTTTCTGAAAAAATGTTTTACTCTGCTGTAACAGGGGGAACAACCATTCCAATACCCATATTTTTTCTGTTTTCTTATGATGTTGTGTTAGTGCCCCTAGTAAGTATTTTTCCCCACACCATATTGTGAGGTTTATAAGCAACTCAGGGTCTCTTCTGCGTACGCTTCCAGCTATGACGCAGTCCACAACCTGGCTTAAAACTACCTGTTGGTCCTTAGTAACAGTTACTGGTGTAGTAGGGTCTGTACCTTTTAGGAGAGGCTGCAGCTTATCTAATAGCTCATTTGGGATTCCTACCATCGGTCTTAGCCACTGCAGGTCCCCAAGCAATTTCTGGGCCTCATGTAAAGTAGTTATTTTGGTCTTTAGGTACAGCTTTTGCAGAGTGATTATACTGTTGGTTAGAGACCAACCTAGGTACTGCCATGGTCGTGTGAGCTGGAATTTCTCCAGGGCAATTACCAGACCCTGTGTTTTTAGTGCTTTGTAGATGGTTTGTATTTGGGCATTGGAAAATGATTGTTCCTGCGCAAATAGAACGTCGTCCATATAGTGGTACACAACCGTGTCCGGCCAGGCCTGGCAAATGGGACGTAACGCATTATCTACATAAAGTTGACACAAAGTTGGACTGTTACGCATCCCTTCTGGTAGAACCACCCATTCGAAGTGCTGGTCAGGCRCTTCCCTGTTAAGGGCAGGTAGTGTGAATGCAAATCTTTTAGTGTCTTGTGGATGTAATTCGATGGTAAAGAAGCAATCTTTGAGATCTATTACCAGTAAAGGCCAGTTACATGGTAACATAGCAGGGTTGGGCAAACCCAGTTGCAGGGCCTGCATGGGCTCCATTTGATTGTTAACTGCCCTTAGGTCATGTAATAATCGATATTTTCCAGACTTCTTTTTTATAACGAATATGGGCGTGTTCCATGGGCTTGTGGAGAGCTTTAAATGTCCCTGGTTATATTGCTCTTGAACTAACCTGTGGGCTTGTGTAAGACTTTCCCTTTTTAGAGGCCATTGCTTAACCTATACTGGAGAGTTAGTGGCCCAAGTAAGTGGGATGGGGAAAGTCCAAGCAATGGCTGCTAGCCCAAAGGGTGCTCATTGGTAAGTACAACCCCCAGTTGTGAAAGTATGTCACGACCAATTAAGCACTGCACGCTAGGAGGCAGTGGTACCACAGAAAAGACATTTTGTAGTGATTTGCCATTTATAGTAACTAATAATAGCGGCGACTTTTGCGCCAGTGTCAAACCTCCCACACCTGTAACAGTTGTCATGGCCAGTTGTAGGGGCCAGGTTTTTGGCCAGCACTCTGGGGAGATTATACTGGCATCAGCCCCTGTGTCCAGGAGACCTCGGAGAGTTATTGATTCTCCCCGGAACTCCAATGTTACATCGTGTTTAGGTCGGTTACTTAAGTCTAAAGTTAATAGCACAAG